AAACACCCACCTGTTTTTCAATTTCAGCATAGGAAAGACCACTTTCTCGTAACACAATAATATTACATTTCTTTCTAGGTGTCAAATCTACTCTTTTATTTGATGTCTTTGCTTCTTAACTAAATATTAAAAATTTGTACAAAAATTCCTACTTGTAATTGCAGTGTATAAGAAACAGGTCCTCCTTCTACAGAACAAAGCAAAATAATGAATTTTTTTAAGTGTAAACATGATGTCAGCTTCTACTGGCAGTTACTAACATTTGATTGATTCTCAGAACAAGAACAGTGATTTGGCCAGGAAAGCTAGACATTACAAACCTTTTCATAACTGTGTTTTTTATTTATATTAAAGTACATATACCTTTTTTGTATTGAAAATAATTGAATTTTGTGTTTTGTATTGAATTCAGTAATAAATTCTTTTTAAAATGATATATACAAGTTTGCATTTTGCGGAACGTATCATTTTCTATAAGCATACAAAGTTCAAAAACATAAAAATTTCCAAAGGTGTCCACAATTTTGGCCACACTGTAATTAAATTAAAAAACACTACTTAAAATATAAATAAGCACATACATTAAATTAATAAAAATTATATTACAATCCTAATTACTTTAAACTAATCATTGCTAATAACAATTTTCCAATAATATCATATTAATTTATTTACTCCTTACATTTAGAACAATGCATAAAAATAATATCCTCAAATGATTAAAAATACTAACTAACCTAATCTTCAGAATCTTCATTACGTGGCACGCACACTTCCACTATTTCACACAACACACAATGAGCTTAATACAAAATAATATAGTACTACAGTTTCAAAATTCTCCCTTTTCGATTAAAGAACTGTAATTCGTCCATTAATGTCACATAACATATCTCATGATCTCTCATTTCCCTCACACAAAATAATGCGTAATCGGAACTGAGTACTTCTCACATTATTACCAAAGTCCTAGGTAGTAACCTTTATCGCCTCCAAAATGTCGCCAAACTACCAGTTACCATATTCCAAAGATCAGCCGTAAAGAATCTAATTCAGAATTCTTATATAAACAATACCTAAGTGCAGTATATAAATATTTCAAATCAATAAAATCTCACTATGCCACGCTCAAGGAAAAAAATCAATAATCATCTAAATTTTCAAATTACAAACATAATATGCACTATAAATCTAAATGTAAAAATCAAATACAAAATAACGCTTCACGCTATCAAATTTGATCATTTTCTTAACTATCAACAACTAAACAATATTTCAACTAAAAAACATAATGTAAACAAGAGTTTGCCCGATGAGTTAACCAAAAAAATTCGAAATTATCACTGAAAAATGTGGCACACGGGGATTGTTAGCAAATGTATCATTCGTATTTGAACAGCAACCGCATCATTCGTATTCGTATAGCAACCACATCATTCGTACTCGAATAAACCGCATCGTACGACAGATGCGAGTAACCGAATAGTTGCGAGTAACGAAATGAATTTATGAGTACCGAATCGGTACTTCGAGTCAACCGATGTACCCGTTACTCGGTAACGAATACATGCGGTTTGCTCCAGCTCTACTCGAGAATAATAACTCTTGCTCATTTAATTATTTAGCACATTCAGTTATATTTCTCATAATTCGAAACTTTTATCATGTTATTCGATGAGGGGTAGGGCTATGGCGCCCAGGCTCCCTGGTGGTTAAGCACCGCTGTTCAACATAGAAGAATTACTCGAGAATAATAAAATACGATCTGTGTGGTAGTCGAAGTAGTCTTTGGTAAAGCGCCCCCTCGCACTGATGAAATTAAATGCAAGGAGGTTAGAATAGAAGGAGGGAGGGTTCGCACAAGGAGGTTAGAATATAAGGAGGGAGGGTTCGCGGTTTCCTCCACTATCGGGGAATGAAACTCCGCCGAACAAGCGGCGTCCATGTTTGTGACTTCAAAACATTGCATTACGGCAGTGACATGTACGTGTTTCTAACCTGTTCCGTGCATTTATTTTCCAGTAAAAATATGTTAAATTTATAATGAAATCCCTCGCTATTGTTGAATTTTTGTTTTAAAAGTAATAAAGATGATATCCATAATTTACTATGTACAGCAAATTATTAAGAAATAGTTCGAAATCTAAATGCATGCGCATAACATTAAAGCCTTTAAAAAAATGATGTTTCTGCATATTTCACGGACTTGCTTAGGTTAGAAAATAAATCTTAATAAAAATAATACAGGTTTATGTGAATTCATTGATTTCAGTTTATGCGCATTTCATATTTATTAACCTCAAAGAAACTGCCTTTAATTAAGTTGAATTACAGAAATACACGTATATAGTTTTTGGATACATCTTTTTACATGTTCAATTGTGTAAATATTTTACTTAATTTATCACTATACTGCCCAGAAATTTGTAAGTTTATGCAAAAAATTTTTAACAACAGAACAGTTTATCTAAAAAAAATGAATAATAATTAATATATAAAGAAAGCATTGCTTTATTTAACACCTTTACAATTAATAAAAATAGTAACAATTGATTCTTACTTTCATGAAAGTTATAAAACGAATTAACTAAACGTTCAAATTATACAATTTAAATCCTACCATATAGCATTGTATCTTAAGGAACGAAGATACCAGCTATAAACAGAAACATTAAAAGTATTTAATATATTTTGATAATAGTTATATTAAATAACCTATTTTAAGTCCTTTTTTTTCACATTGGAAAGAAACCACATGACATTGTGATATTTTTTGACATAGTTGTCATTCTACATAAAAAAAAGAAAATTAATACTTACGTGTGAAAAAATGCCCGGAATTTTTTTCGAGAATCTATTGTGCATCCATATGCAATACAAGCTGACATGCTTCAAAAAGAAAAGAAAAAAATGTTGCAATGACAGACTTCCTTGCACAAGTCACGGTGATAACAGGAAGATGGCCGCCAAGCTTCACCGTTTGAGTTGAACCTTCCCTCCTTCTATTCTAACCTCCTTGGGTTCGCAGTTTCCTCCACTATCGGGGAATGAAACTCCGCCGAACAAGCGGCGTCCATGTTTGTGACTTCAAAACATTGCATTACGGCAGTGACATGTACGTGTTTCTAAGCTGTTCCGTGCATTTATTTTCCAGTAAAATTATGTTAAATTTATAATGAAATCCCCCGCTATTGTTGAATTTTTGTTTTAAAGTAATAAAGATGATATCCATAATTTACTATGTACAGCAAATTGTTAAGAAATAGTTCGAAATCTAAATGCATGCGCATAACATTAAAGCCTTTAAAAATGATGTTTCTGCATATTTCACGGATTCGCTTAGGTTAGAAAATAAATCTTAATAAAATAAAACAGAATTCATTGATTTCAGTTTATGCGCATTTCATATTTATTAATCTCAAAGAAACTGCCTTTAATTAAGTTGAATTACAGAAATACACCTATATAAGTTTTTGGATACATCTTTCCACATGTTCAATTGTGTAAATATTTTACTTAATTTTATCACTATACTGCTCAGAAATTTGTAAGTTTATACAAAAAATTTTTAACAACAGAACAGTTTATCTTAACTTTAAAAATGAATAATAATTAATATATAAAGAAAAGCATTGCTTTATTTAACACCTTTACAATTAATAAAAATAGTAACAATTGATTTCTTAATTTTCATGAAAGTTATAAAACGAATTAACTAAAACGTTCAAATTATACAATTTAAATCCTACCATATAGCATTGTATCTTAAGGAACGAAGATACCAGCTATAAACAGAAACATTAAAATGTATTTAATATATTTTGATTATAGTTATATTAAATAACCTATTTTAAGTCCTTTTTTTCACATCTGGAAAGAAAACCACATGACATTGTGATATTTTTTGACATAATTGTCATATTACATAAAAAAAAGAAAATTAATACTTACGTGTGAAAAAATAATGCCCGGAATTTTTTTCGAGAATCTATTTATGCATCCATATGCAATACAAGCTGACATGCTTCAAAAAGAAAAGAAAAAAATGTTGCAATGATAGACTTCCTTGCACAAGTCACGGTGATAACAGGAAGATGGCCGCCAAGCTTCACCGTTTGAGTTGAATCTTCCCTCCTTCTATTCTAACCTCCTTGATTAAATGTGGAAAACCGAACTTCTGTTTGTGTCTTCTATGTATGTAATTCTATGTCACGAAGGTAAACAAAAGTGAGTGTGATAATGTTACAATATCCTGTAACTAAATTAATAAGTCACTTATCAAAGTCAAGATATGTATTTCACCAGTTTTCTTATTTAAGCGGTTATGCAGTGAAATACAAAGATTATGGGGATCCGAATAATGTTTTGGAACTTGTAGAGTACGATGTTCCAGATAATCTTGAGTCCCGGCAAGTTCTATTGAAAATGCTTGCTGCTCCTGTAAACCCTGCTGACATTAATATGATTCAGGGAAAATATGCTGTGAAACCCGAATTACCAGCAATAGGAGGAAATGAAGGAGTAGCAGAAATTTTAAAAGTATTTATTATATTTATTTATAATACACATGCTTCCTTCTATATATGAGTTTTAAATTTGAAGCTTTCAGTTGAGCAGTTTTTGTGATCAAAATGAATATGTATTGACATCAAGCAAGTATTACTGCAATGCTTTCTTTATTTGCTGCTTTTTTGAACATCCACTTTTAATATATACTGTTCTTACATTTTTATTTATTTATTTCGCAATAAAAGTAGTGCAGTGGTTAACAAACTATGTCTAATTATTTTATATACCAGCAATTTTATACTTTTTTTATTGTTATTTATAACTCAGACCGTGCATGTTAAACTTAGTGTAGTATTTAAAAAGAATACTACAATGTAGAAATCATGTTAGTCCATAATATGATAATACAATTGCTTAAATATCTTTATTTCTGCATAGGTTGGATCTTCTGTCAAAAATCTGAAAGTAGGTTCATGGGTCATTCCATGTTCTTCAGGGTGGGGCACATGGAAAACTCATGCTGTCTGTAATGAAGACGAAGTTTTAAAGGTATGTAATCTTAAGTAACAGTAATACTGTCTATTTAACCCTTCATTTTTAAGTTACATATATATTAATGTTAATACAAGCAGTTTTATAAGTTTGATTTTTTGAAAAGAGATAATACTTGCATAATTGTATTTTTTTGCCATTGATAAATAAAATTTTTTGAATACTAAGAATTCACAATTTATAATTATCTGATGCAAAATTAGAATGATATTTTGCATTCGCTAAGGAATCATGGTGAAAAAAGATATATGCTTACAGTTTTTTTTCCTGGCACATATACTTATATATATTTCTAGCTCACATATATTTATTATATACATGCATATGAAATCATTTTCTTAGTCATCCTCATAATTTTCCTTTCATTCTAAATATAAGATCTACTTTTATTTCTTTAGATATTTTCTTTCATTCCAAGTATTCAATGAAATCTGTTTGTTTTAAATATGAGATTCCATATAGTATTCTTAAAGCCTTTAAAAATTTTGACTTGTACAATATCCTCTTACTATTATGGGAAAAGTTTCAATTTTGTTTTGATTTTTCCATCTTAAAACACTGTTACAGAACATATAAGTGAAGCAAGATATGTATGCTAAACATTAGTATTAATTATGGAACTACTCTGATATGCGCTCTCAAGTCGCCAAATTTCTCGCCAAATATTTTTGGCGAGAAACTTCACGCTGCCATATTACTACCTAAATTTTTTGTCTACATTTTGAACTTTTAGCCTAAAATGTCTCCAAAAACGTGGTTTTCGCACATGCAAAAACTACTTTTTGAACACACAATTTAGCTAAAAATCCGAAACAAAAACAAAAAAATTTAGATAGCAAAAACGTAAAGGTTCTAACAAAAAATATTTATCAAGAATCCATGTACACAGCGAAATGTTTTAACTTAAAAAAACAGCTATGAATTGCACAATGTAGGCAATGAACGAATCTACAAACTACGCAGACCTCGCTTTTAATAAATTAACATAACAACAATAAATTTCAAAGAATACCATGTACACAGCATCCTGTTTAAACTTAAAAAAAATTCTACGAATTGCACAATTTAGGCAAGGAAGGAATCTACGATCTTCGCACTCCTCGCTTTAATAAAATAACATAACAACAATAAATTTCAAATAATACCATATACACAGCGTTCTGTTTCATTTAAACATCTACGAATTGTACAGTCTAGACACTAAACAACAAAATAAACTAAAATAAATTTCAAACAATTTAAAAAAACAACAATAACGACAGAAATTCATACTAAAGAACAATGAACATAACATTCTACAAAAAAGAACAAGGATAAAATAAAATGCACTTACCATGAATTAATGCGTTTCGAATAGCAGAAATATAAATTTCATACCGCCTTTAACATGCCGCCACGTTAATCACTATTGTATTTACATTACAGCCAGACACACTATCCAGAAAAATTTATACTATGGTTCACAAATAAATAAAATCACAAATCCCTACTTTTATATGCACTGCCATTAAAAATAATCTCCCAGACCCTCTTCCACACTTCTAATACCACTACCCCTCAACAGGATATCCACAATCATATTTCCTTTTGCCGAACTTCAATTCAACAACTACCATTTTATCTTTCCCTCTCATCTTCTCAGACACAGAGGCGAACCAATGAGCTCCAGCCAAAGATTTTTCAACGTCAACAGGGTTGCCATAGAACATGCAATCGTGCCAAAAACCAGCGCAGAACACATATCGCCACATTTGGTGAAATTAGGGCGTATATTAGAGTTGTACCAATGAATCCGTTAATCTATTATATGTCCAGTAGCACTTAATGAAAAAGAGACATTTTACTAAAAATATTAGTATTCTGTATGAATGACAGAGAATATATGTGTAATGAATACCATGGCCAAATACCTATATAAAGAAAAAAAAAAAAAAAAAAGTATTCTCTACCTCGACGCTTGAAAAAGTAATCCTGCTATGCAACACATAGTTAATTTCTTATTACATGATATTGCAATCATTTTCTTCAGATTTTCCTACAACTGGTTAAGACCATTGAATACTGGTAGTTTTTAAATTAGGGCGTATATTAGAGTTGTACCTTAATTATGTAATGTATAATACTATGTTAAATATTTATATTAGAAATATCAGATTTTATGAATGTTTAACTTGTAGCATAATAAATATTATTTAGTACTTTTAGTTATTCGCATCCCTACCAAAAGTTGCAAAAAAGTATTCCCGAGGCAAAGCAGTATATTACCAAAATAGTTATGTCACAGCTGATGAAGTTTCTAAAATGTATGCATGTGGGAACCCACGTATGGATGTAGCATATATCTGTTTTGTCTGGTGTGCAAAGCCAAAGTTGTATTGAAGCTGAATTTGTGCAATTCTGTAATATTTTTTTTAAGCTAAAATACATGACTGTATACATGAGGAGAGTAACAGCATAAAAAAGGATAAAATTTTAAGTGTTTTATTAACAATATTTTTTGCTTTTTTAATTTTATAGATTGGATACCCATGAAGAGAATTCTTAGTTGGCCACCATTTTGAAAATGTCTGTTACCTTTCATATATTAGCTTGGAAAAAAAATTAGTCACCCCTGAGTTCATGATGTTTTCCAAAGTCAACAATGAATAGTAAGGGGGGAACAAATAATTAAAAAGTACTTATTATTTGAATGGGTACAGTTGTGGTGAATTTTTATTCTTCATTCAGTTAAATGATATATATGTTAAGCAATATAAATGATGTGTCATGACGATTTACATCGTAAAAATTTGCTAATTTTTTAACTCGTGCAAAATGTCTTCCTTAGATCACTTTAAAAAACTATCACTTTTATGAGATTTTAGTTGATTCCAGATCTCGGACTTTGTATTCTATTAACTTGTTTAGAAATTTTGTGTAATTTTAAAAAGGTAATTACGAATAAGAAAACTTGATTAATCATGTAGTTATTGTATAAAAAGTCTCTGTCTGAGTAATGATGAAGTTGAAAATACAAAGTAATTATTAAGTATAATATTTCCTTACATATGTCTCCCCTTCTTTTTTAACTAATTTTTCAGTCCAAAAACTGAGAGGGGAAAATTATACGAGTAATTTAATTTCCCAAGAACACAGTTATAATAAGAACATATCAGATGAAAAGTAGTTGTGGATAAATTGCTGGTAACTGTCACAATATTATTTTGTTAAAAGAAACATACATTTCAGTAAGAATATATAATAATATTAACATTACAATATCTGATGGATGTTTGGCCAATATCTCATGAATATTTGTTGGTACACAGTTCTTGAGAGAGACCGAGGAGAAGGCAAACAATAAAAGATCTGGGTTTTGAAAAATACAGCTAATCATCAGTAGATAAGGTTATAATGACCTGGAATATAAATAATAGATCTAAAGTGAAATCACATGTTTGGAAAATTTCTTAAATGTGAGAATACCTACCATGTCTAGGTAGCTTAATGAAGAATCTGAGCAAAATGCATTTCAGATAATAAATGTAAGTGTAAATTAAGTGGATGAAATGCTCATACAAAAATGCAAATACAAATTGAGGATACACTAGGAAAAAATAATCAAGAGAATAGACTTGACCAATAAACTAGCTTTCAGAGGGAAAAGCTGTATACAATAGAGGAAGGGAAAATTATGCAAATATTAAAATTTTCAGAACCTGATGCTAACAAGCTAGGGGGAAAAATAAAGGAAGTATAGTACTACTACGTGTATTCAGAATGTGTAATCCTACAGTTATCATAATTGAGACTAAACAGAAAGTATTAGTTAAGTACTGTGTTAAGCTTTATTGGTTTGATGCCTGGGTTCAAAATATAATGCACTAATAAATTATAATAATTAATATGCATAAATTTTTATGGAAAGCATTTCTAAATGGCATAAAATATAAATATGGAAATTTCATGATACACCACATAGGGCTATAGTTATGTCAATTAGAGGAAATTATAGTTATGTCAATTAGAGGAAACTGCTTAGGTTATGGTCAGTAACATTTGGAATGAAATTGTAACAGCTCTTCTGAATTATTAATTCAAAGTTGGTTCAATTCTGGCTCAACAAAGCATACTGAATCTCAAAATAATTACTGTGTTAAACATAACCAATTTTTCAGCAGTCCTTTCAGGAAGAAATTGCAGATAGGAAAAAATTCATAATTAATCTTATCATTTTCAAAATCAATATATATGAAGTAATGTTCTGTCAAAACTAGGGCTTCCAAAATTGAAGTGCCTGAGCTCTGTGAAATGCTATCAGGAAAGGTAAAAAATAAATATATAAAATAATGAATAATTAAAATTTAATAAAGTGTAAAGAGATGAAAAGTAATAAATTAAATTAATGGTAGACATTTAAATAATAATAATAATAAATAAATAAAGCTTACCTTATCTAGATCTTTCATTTGCGTAATAATTTCCTTTAAAAACAGAATTACTGATGGTTAGAACAGGCCAGATTTTTTTTAATGTACTATTAAATATCAAAACAGGACCTTATATTTAAAAAATAACAGCAATAAATATAGGAATTAATCAAATATGGAAAGTACTAAGTATTTTGAAGTAAAAAATTATTCCTAGGTTTTTAGATATATTTAGTTCTTAGTAACACCAGTAAACACTGTTTTAGGCGCACAAAGTGTCTCTTTCCCAGTGTAAGTTATTTATGTTGAATTCAGATATACAACTGGAATTTTTCTGTCACCCTTCTTTTGTGCAGTAGTATTTTTTAAATGTTGCACTTTTTTAATTTTTAAAGGAGTAATTTATCTAAGAAATATTTTAAATGACTGGAAATATCAATTAATTTATTAATATATAAGGTATTTTCTGATTATCTGTATTTCCATCAAGAAGTCGTGAACTTGACAACTTTGAAGAGAATTTTTTAACTTAATGCTGACTTTGGAAAGAAATGCTTGTTTGGATAACTTTATTTCAGCAATGCATCC